ACGAAATGGTATGGATCATTTTTATCTATTTAAAGACTGAGAAATGACCTATATAATTTATACTATAATTCTGTGACATCAAGAAGCCTAAATTAGGAATGTCATTACTGAAAATGCATTTTTAATAGTTTGGCAATTTAGATTAATTTATTAATTCTCTCAGTTAGATTTTCAGTTAGAAATTATTTGAAATCTCAGAAAGACTTTTGTATTTAGATATGTTCTATATCTTTATGAAAGCCCCATTTTAAAATAATGAGACTTAAATAAACTTTGGTAAAGAACGCTAGAAAATCTGAGATCCAGTGATTATTCTATGTTTGGTAACATTTTCAGGACTCGATAGGAAAAAAAAAAAACATGTACCTACAATTTTTTGGAAGTATATGATGTTATTTAAGGAGTAAAAGGTTCAATAAAACAGATTCTATTCTACCAAATATGCTTAGATTTGTAGTTTAAATTTAAACTGGTATAATAGCTGATGGAACTTCTATAATCTACTTTAAGTTCAGCAAGTAAATTGTTTATCTCCTTGCTTTCTAATATTTGCCTACTTCATTCACCATTGAAACAGTGGTTAGGAAAAATAAAAAGTAGATGAAATTTTCACCAGTTGATGCTAACAAGCACCTTTGATAAAAAGAAATATATAAATAAGTAAACACAAATACACATATACTCATTTGTAACCAATGAGAACAATAACATTTGGGGACTATTCATTGATTTTTAAGTATGCCTATTCTTCCAGTGGGATACCATAGGAAGCACAAACTATCTATATCAGTGTGTAAACTCTCCAAATTTTGAATTAGAAATTCCCACTTCATAGTTTTGTTTTATTTTTAGAATAAACTGACACATCTCAATGGGTAACCTCTCTTCTAACTGTAAAGTCATTATTCTATTTTCTTTTCTATTATCTTTCTTTTCCCAATATCGAATTTGACTGTGATGATAACTGTATTTTTATTTTTCCAACTCAAAGTACAAGCCCAAGTTAAAAGAAAACATTTAATAATGTATCTTATAAAAAGAATATTTAAGCATGATTATGTTTAGATATATCTGAACCAAATATCAGTGGGTCTAACTTACCCTTGCCAGAGAAGTTCATCATTAGCAAGGTCCTGCCAAACACATGAAGCCAAGCAGAGGTCAGTTGCATTAAGGTAGGACAAGATGGTAAAGCTTAGCTCAGGAGGCAACATTTCCAAATTAATGAATCCTTCCTGTTCTTTAGATTTCCTTGCCTTCAAAAGGTGATATATGTCAATGCCTCCTTGGACTTGTTTACGATGATTGGCGTTAGAAATGTTGCTTGCAGCCATTCTCCTGCTCTGCTCTCTGGTGAGGTAGCCTTGCTCACTATAACTTTCCTGTTGTAGCTGCTGGTTTCTGGCCACTCTCCACAGCCCCTGACCCATCTGCAAGCCTGGGAGAAAGCCAGAATGCAATAAGGGTGGCATTAAAAAAGTAACCCATCTTTCCCACTGGTATAACAAATCTGACACGAAGCATTCATTTATCAGAATTAAAATTCCTCATTAAAGCCTATTAAAACCAGTAGTATATCATAAAGAATAGCTGGAACATTCCAAGTACAAAACTTGGACAGAGAAAGTTTTAGAAATATTTGGTTTGGTCATCACCTTTACCCGAGTTTACTAACTACTTTTAAAGTCCACAGGTGACATAATCATTTTTCATGTGGTAAGATTTAAAAGTTACTGATGTCCTAAATACTCTTACAAATTATAATTATGTGGACTTATGGGCCAGTATTAAATACAGCTCTGATCAGAGCACAGGACTTTAGTTAAAAGGCCTCCAGACCCTGCTTTTTATCACAATTGAGGCCAAGCTAAGCTAGCCCCTTTTAACCAAACTCCCAGATGCATAACAGCTGTGAAACAGGCTTTTAGTTTAATTCTTGCCAGTCTACACTTATGTTGTAGACTGTAATAAAATGTAACATAGGCCCTGAAGTCTAATTCAGAAACCTTATAAATTAGACACCTAGAACTCCATGATAAATAGCTCAGTAATAGCTGACTATTTGGTTTTGCTGCTTTAAATTAAAAATTGTAATTTAGACAATTTTCCAATTCTTCTCCCACATAGCCCTACAGATTCTTCCTAGGTACCTGGGAAAAGACAGGAGAAGAAGGTTTACTCCAGTCTTCCCCAATTCCACTTGACCTCCAACCCAGAGCATCTCTACATTTATCTGTTATATATATTGACTTCCCAATATACAAATGTATTTAGAAAATGACTGGCCTAGACTTCTTATTTGGTCATGCCTTTAAAATAAGTAGCTTTTCCTAAGCAAATAAATTCATTAAGAAAAACTAAATCAGAAAGAGTGTTTAACTCATACAAAGAAATTACTTTCATGATCTCTTTTTCAAACAAAATATTCTTGTTTTATTAAGAATACTTAACTAACAACTGTGTGTATTTCAAAAATCTGGAGAAAAAATACTGACTTTTGCATAAAATCACTAAAATTGTCAAATAATTTTTATAACAAGATCTGAATTTAAAATATGGTGTTGTATTAATTAACTGTTTACAATAAGGACCAACAAAAACAAAAGAAAAAAAAAGACCAAGGGGGGGAAAAAGAAACAACTAAACAGTGATGACCAGATATTCTGTAGTTAGGAATAATTTGAAAATTGAGCAGAACTTCGAACAATGTCAAATACAGTATTCTTTTAGTATTTAAAAAAGCATCATCCATGTATACATTTACTAAATTACTGGCTATTTCTTGGATAATGGCTACTATATTAGGTCATCTGCTGATCAAAACTGAGCAAAATAGCCCAGGATAATTTTTAACTCCTCCTCCTCTTTACCTTGCACTGCCAGGAATCCCAGCTGCTTGAGCTACAAAGGGCTGGGGGGAGGTACGAAGAGAAGGAACATATTAATGATTTTTAAACGTGGGAAAATTTGTTTTGTGCTAAAAAAGCACAAAAGATAAACTTTCTCTCCCTACTACATATACCACAATGATGGTATCAGTTCCTAGATTAGTGGTAAAGCTATATAAATTAATTTCTTAAAAAATACAGAACATCAAGAAAATGAAAAGACAAGCCATAAACCAAAAGAAAATCTTTCCAAAACACATATATGACAAAGGATTGATATCCAAAATATACAAAGAACTCTTAAAACTCAACAATACAAAAACAAACCACTTTAAAAATGGGCACATGATCTTAATAGACATCTCACCAAAGAAAATATACAATTGGCAAATAAGCATATGAAAAGATGTTCAACATCGTATGTTGTCATTAGGGAATTGCAAATTAAAACAAGATACTAGCACACGCCTATGAGAATGGTACATACACAACATAATACTGAATGCTGATGAGAATATAGGAATGCAACATGATATAACCACTCCAGTTGACAATTTGGTAGTTTCTTTCTTTCTTCTCTTTTTTGTTTTTAGAGACAGGGTCTTACCCTGTTGCCCAAGCTGGAGTGCAGGGGCACAATCATAGCTCACTACAGCCTCAAACTTCTGGGCTCAAGTGATCTTTTTGCCTTAGCCTCCTGAGTAGCTGGGACCACAGGCATGTACCACCACACCTGGCCAATTAAAAAAAATTTTTTTTTTTTGTAGAGATGGGGTATTTGTTAGCTTGCTCAGACTGGTCTTGAACTAGGTGGTCTCAATTGATCCTCCCACCTCGACCTCCCAAAGTGCTGGGATTACAGACGTGAGCCACCGTGCCCAGCCTACTTTGGCAGTTTCTTACAAAACTAAACATACTTTGGTAGAGGACATCCATACACTGGAATATTATTTAGCACTAAAAAGAAAAGAGCCATAAAGACATGAAGGAACCTTAAATGGCTATTACTAAGTGAAAGAAGTCACTCTTAAAAGGTTCCAATTATAAGACATTCTAGAAAGGGCAAAACTTTGGAAAGACAGTAAAAATCATTAACATAGAAGAAATACAGAATGTCAACAAAAATTTATAAGTACATAAAGTCTTTAATTTGATTAATGTTTAAATGTGCCATGTCACATTACAACATAAGTACACCTTAATTGTGACACAAATTTAACATTCTAAGGCTCTCTATCATAAAGGTTATGTTATTTTTATCATGGCTATTCCTCTATTTAACTTAGCAAGAAAATATCTAGAAATTGCATTAATTGCTGAGTTCATCTAGCATATTTATTATCATTTTAAATAATTAAATTTATTCCTTTCTCATTTTTGTCCCACTAAAGGGAAATAATAAAACACAGTAACTGAAGTCTCAAGATTTAAGGCATTTATTAACAATTTCTGTGTATTTTTCCTGTGGAATCTTTCTAGTGGCATATGGTTAAGCAGCTGTTGTTACTCTCAGGGCTGTTGCTAGGGAACAAAGAATCAGGGTGATTTCCCTAGGCTCTGGACTTTAATGGGGATCACTTAAATTGAGCACTGGATAATGTGACTCAGAAAGCATCCGGCAGGTACAAAGAGGTAAAGCTAGCAGCTGGTAACCTAAAAAAAAAATGATGGGGAGAGTGGGGGGTTGAGGCTCATGTACACAGTGTACAATGTATACATTCAGACAAATAAAACTGAAAACTGCAAGGTTAGACCTCATTTTCTATCCTACTGCTAAACAATACTGCCAGTTGCCCCTTTGGGACTTTCTTCTTTTAAAGCGGTTCTTGATACTGGGTAAAAATACAGTATGATAAACCACTCTGAGAATCTTATAAGCTCAGTATTTAGAGAAAGGAAAGGGTGTCTCTACAGGGTTCCTTCCTCACTCTCCGATCTTCTGCGGGGTAATAACAATGCGGAATATGGATGTAACTGTCAGAAAAGTGACAAAACTCTCAAAAAGACATGACATCCACTGTGTTAGTTGTGAAGCAAGTCATGCAGGGAGCATAGTGTGCGTGAGGCAGACCTGAATTTGAATCTTGACTCCGTTACTACTTATAGGACCGTGGGGAAGTTACTTGACTACTAAGTTTCAGTTTTTTCATAGGTAATGTAGAAAAATAATATCTAAAGCTCAAAAGGCTGTTGTATTATATGAGAGAGTACATATAAAGTTCACTTCATGGTTAATAATCGATACATGTTAGATATTACTTTGTTTTGACAAAATTGTATTTTCATCAAATGAAAATGATGAACACTTTCATAAAACTTATTTGATGATACTTCAACTGTTCTGATGTCTTGCTTGCCCAATAAGCTTATTTGTTCATGTTGATGCTTACATAGCTTTGCAGGACTTGTATATACAATTCTTCATCTCCCTTAGTTATCTCATATTTCAATCATGATTATTTGTTTTTCCTGGAAATGCAATTCTTTTATATCAATGATCAAACCAAAAAAAAAT